TGTGCAAGACCAGTGTGGTGGCAATTCCTCAAGGATCTACGAACTATGGAAATACCATTTGACCCAAGCCATTTGCCCATTTCTGGGTAATTATACCCCAAAAAGGATTTAAATCATTGCTACTATAAAGACACATGCACCACATATGTTTATTGTTGGACCTATTCACAATAGCAAGACTTGGAAACCAACCAAATGTCCGATTCAATGAACAGGAACTGGGATAAAGAAAATGTTGGGGCACACGAGTACACCATGGAGAATACTATGCAGCCAGTAAAAAGAAGGATGAGGTTCATGTCCTTTGGTAGGAACATGGATGAGCTGGAAAACCATCATTGCTGAGCAAACTATCACAAGGACAAAAACCAAACACCTGCATGTTCTGCGACTCAGTAGGGTGGGAATTGAAACAAATGAGGATCACTTGGACAGCAGGGGGCGAACATCACATCACTGGAGGTCCTGTCGTGGGGGATGGTGGGAGTAGGGGGAGGGATAGCACTAAGAGAAATGTCTAATGTAAATGATGAGTTAATGGATGCAGTAAACCAACATGGCACATGTATACCTATGTAACATACCTGCATGTTGTGCCCATGTACCCTAGAACTTAAAGTTTAATAAAATAAAAAAGGTAAAATAAATAAATAAATAAATATAAAAGAGGTAGTGGAAGCAGGCGTCATATCTTGTTCTCAGTCTAAAGAGAAAACATTTTTCATCACTTATAATTAAATATGCAGCTAGCTGTGGGTTTTGTAGATGTATGTTGAGGAAGTTCCCTTCTATTTCTAGTTTTCTGGTAAGTTTTTGTTTGTTTGTTTGCTTGTTTCTTTTTTAACATGAATGGATGACTTAACATTAAACAATTAATAGTGTTATTCACTGTGTCACCAGTATAAACCAGTAAAAATTCTTGAACTTATACTTTCATCTCAAAAGACATACAAAAATCTTTTGATAAAAATGCATCCATTCATGAGGAATAAAACTTGCAAATTATGAATAGACAAAAACTTCCTCTGGGAAGGGTAGGGGAAAGAAGAGGGTAAAGAGGAATTTGTTCATAGGTACAGATATACAGTTTGATAGAAGAATTAGACCTAGTGTTTAATATCTCAGTAGGGTGACAAGTGTCTCCAATAATCTATTTTATATCTCAAAATAGACAGATGGGAATAATTTGAATATTTCTACCATAACGAAGAGACAATAGTAATAATGAATATCCTGATTATACTAATTTTATCTTTAAAAATTATATGAATGTATTAAATTATTGCATGTACCTTGAAAGTTAAAAATAATAATAATTTCCTTAAGGTGATAAAGGTATCTACCAAAATATCCTACAGAATAATCTTATTTTATTATGTTTTTACTGAACATCGGTGTCTTAATGAAAGGGAGAGAATGAAGAGGTCAACAGACTGACCGTCCAATGAACTAGAAGGAATGGTATATTGAGAGTAATTGAGAAAATGGGATGAAGGAAAGTAGAAATCTAAATTTATTCTTTTTAGAGCAGTTATCATACATAATTGTTTCCATGCCTGCAAATTCCCTGTGCTCCACCTATTCATACGTCTCTCCTAACTGAGATCCTAGCAACGATTGATCTTTTGTTGTCTTCATAGTTTTGCCTTTTGCAGAAGATCACACAATTAGAATCCTATAGTCTAAAGCTTTTTTAGACTTTCTTCTTTCACTTACCTATGTGCATTTAAGTTTCCTTCTTGTCTTTTAGTAGATGATAGCTCATTTTTTAAGATTACAGAATAATATCAGTAATGATAGCTCATTTTTTTAAATTACTGAATAATATTTCAGTGTATGAACGTACCTCATTTTGGTTATCCACTCACCTACTGAAGAATATCTTGATTGCTACCATTTTTCATACAAATGCAGGTTTTTGTGTGTACATGTTTCCAAATTATGTAGGTAAATACCAAGAAACACAATTACTTAATCATGTAATAAGTCTGTTTTCCTTTGTAGGAAACTTCCAGTCTCTCTTCCAATATGAATATCCCATTTCACACTTCCACAAACAGTGAAAGAGAATTTCTGTTGCTTCATATCCTTACTAGCATTGGCATTGTTTTTGTTGATTTTTAACAGCTCTGTATATGCTTAGATCATTTGCCTGTGTCTCTGTTAGGAGTTACAAATTCTTCTACTTTATCTTTTGTTTTCAAACTTTGATTAAAATAAGTTTTGAGATGCAGAGTTTTAAAACTATTTTATCATTTTTTTCTATTATGGCCTTAGGCATTTGGGTCATACTTAGAAACACATTCCTGCTTACTAGATAATTAGAAGAAATTCTACTACGAGTTCTAATAACACTAATTTCACATTTAAAGGTATGTATTTTGTCAATGTACAAATTTGGAATCGACTTTATTTAAGAGTTAAGGTATAATTTCAGCATTTTTTCTTTCCAGATGACCATCCAATTATCTTCATGGCACTTACAGAATATCTTTCCCTATGAATAGAAGAGTGTAGAAATATATTCTCCCTTTTTTCTTTCTCATTGACTTATGACCAGGCTCCAGCTGGTCATTCTGTGTTTTTCAAGAGAGGTCAGAGGCAATTGAATGTGTGAATACATGTGTATATATATGTATATACATGTATATGTATATATGTATATATGTATACACGTGTATATATGTATAGATACGTATATACATGTGTGTACACATGTATATGTATACACACATATATACATGTATATGTATATACATACACGTGTGTGCATGTGTGTACACACATGTATATACATACACACATTCAATTGCCTCTCGCTTCTCTACAGAAACAGAGAAAAGGAGAAAATATCAATTTCCTACATTTTCTATGAGTATTAAAATGAGATACCAGATTGCCTGATAAAACACTAAATACAAAATTAAGTGTTCATTAAATGGTGTCTATCACTAATATTATTACATACTGAAAGTCATGTTTTTAGAAACTAATAATGCAAAGGAAAAAAGTTAATGAAATTTATGACAACTTACCCAAATAACGTGGAATGATATATCCTACAAGATGCTCGTTTCCCACAGCTATTGGTGGACCACTTCAAACATGTTCTATCAGTCAGAGCACCAAAATATATTGGAGCTAGAATTCCTCCTGCAACAGGAGAAGAGAAGGTGTCAATACAGGGAATGTATTTCAAATGCATCTGGATAATATTTCATATTGATTCATAATGGATAAAGTAAAAGTTAAACTTGTTGGAGGATTCTTCCACTGTTTTGGCCTAAATCTGCCCAAGAATTGAGATTATAAGGAATCTCAAAGTCCTGAATTATATAGTAGTGTTATAGACATGTTTTATCTACCCTCCCCTCTCTACACACATACGGAAGAAGCATTATATGCCTGTACACTCTGTTCTCCTTACAATATCAATTAACTTCAGTCTGATTAGTAAAAAGAAGAATATTGTTAGTAAAACAGGAATGTTATATGGTTTCATATGGGATGTTATTAGGCAAGGAGAGATGGAATTGTGGGAGTAGAAGTATATCTTTATGTTAAAAGAAAAACATTCTCAGCTTAAATGCTGTACAGACAAGACTTTTCAACACTCTTTTAAGAAAATTAAAATGTGAGTTCTCACACCAGCACCCCATCGCCAGAGAAGTGCAGGCCCAGATTCAGAGATTGCTTGGCCCTTGGCAGGTTATACCTCTTTCTGGGTTCACAGCTCTCCTTCCTTCTTCTTGATGTCACTTGTGCCCATAATCCAGCATTTTCTCTCTACTGATTTGGTGGATTTTTAAATACTTCTGAAGCAACTAGGGCTTTCCAAGTTAGACTTGGAAATTTAGACTACAGTGCTAAATTTCATTTGTTAGTTCTGATTATTGTTCTGATCACAATAATGCATAATGCATATGTTTTCGGTGTTCTATCCTTTAGTCAATTTCTATTTGTAGTGCATTATTTTGCACAATGTGTGGCTTTTCAGGGACATATGTTGTGTATAGCAGAAGTGTACATCTGGTCGTAATCCTATTTTAATAAATTCTGAGATTGACTCCTGGTTCTAAGCATAGGTAATCTTTTTTTTTCTTTGAGACGGAGTCTCACTCCATCATGCAGGCTAGAGTGCAGTGGTGCAATCTCGGCTCACTGCAACCTCCACCTCCCGGGTTCAAGCAATTCTCCTGCCTCAGCCTCCCTAGTAGTTGGGATTACAGCAGTGTGCCACCATGCCAGCTTATTTTTGTATTTTCAGTAGAGATGGGTTTTGCTATGTTGGCCAGGCTGGTCTCAAACTCCTGACTTCAGGTGATCCACCCACCTTGGCCTCCCAAAGTGTTGGGATTACAGGCATGAACCACTGCGCCCAGCCTAGCATAGGTAATCTTATCAAAATTTTAGGGACATGACAGGGGGGAGCTGTCCTTCAGATGGTAGCACTGAAGTATTCATGACTTTATTTTGTTCTTTTTTTGTGTTGCGATGAATACTTTTATTTTGTCACATAAAAATCGTAATGATCCATATATCACGATTTTACTAATTCCATTTACTTCTCACGGTTTCAATTTTCTGACAGTGAGAAATCTTAGAATGACAATGAATTGAGGCCAATGAATATGAGGAAAGCTGGTAGTAAGAAAACGGGTGAGAAATTTGCAGGTATCAAAAAATCACAGCCGTCCTTAAAAACTAAAAAAAAATGTCAACAATTTATTACTGCAATTTTAAAACTTCTCATAACTCATTTTATAAATAACTTTTTCAATTTAATACTCTATAGGCCTTCCACAATTTATACATATATTGTATTCAAGACAATTATGTTTGAATTGGAAGTTTAGTGCTCTGTGTATTTTTCCCATGGAACCATTTAGAGTCCATTCTGCCATATACGGAGCACATCAAAATAGGATGCTCAGAATTAGAATGGCAAAATTCAATTTTTCTATTTTATATTGCCAAAAATATTGCTTCTACTATTATTTCCACATATCAGAAAGAGTGCTAACTACCCAATTTCTATATTCAGCTTCTGTGGCCCAGCTGCTAGGAGTGAGATATCTCCACTGATTCTGAAGGTAGAGAACTGCCAGGATATAAAGAAGCTGGATTAGATTAGGTTAGAGACACAGAAAAGAGAATACAAGGAAGAGAACCAATGGAACCCTGCAGCATCTCCATCTCCTCCCTCCTATTCCCTTTATCTTTCTTTCTTTTTTTTTTTAATCTTTGAGGAATTGTGACCTTCTCATCAAATATACTTCTTGGACAACTTCTTCATTGTAATTTGGCCATCATAGAGTTACACTTTTTTCCTTTACTTACAAAGGTTCCAGAAATTGACCCCTCCCATTTTCTTTTCCTTCTGCTATCAAAGGTTGTCAGGATCAGTCCTCTGCACCAAACCCTAGAGGAATGATGCCCTTTTTCTACTTGCCAGGAATAAGCACATAACATTTGCAGTTCTTACAAACGTGCACTCACGAAGATTAGAATAGATATTATGTAACAATAACAGGCACCAGTGTGCTAAAAATGGTAAATGGCAACAAGAAAGATAGTAATATCCTAAATATTTTTCTCATCACCTTTAAATATTTATAAACAAGTCTTTAGCCTCTAGAGTCTACATTCTTACTGTTTGCCAAGAGAAACATGATTCCTTAGCTTTCCTTTATTCAGAACACTCTCTTAATCAAAAACCCCCAGTTCTGGAGTCTGAGTTCTCATTCCCCTTTGCATTAACTGCTGCTAAAGCTTAGCTGCCCAGCCTTACAGGACCAGTCAGTGGGAAGTGGCACAGCTAATATCAGCTCCTGTTGTTTTGCACAACCTCAGCCTGGCCAGATTCACAGGCCTCCCAAGTTGCTTTAGGCCTTCCCTAAATAATGTTTCAGTTTAGAAGGAAGGTCCCCCACTCTGCCTACCTGGGATAAATATTCTTAACTTTCTGAAAGGAGGAAACTTTGAGAACCACCTGTCTTTCAGTGGTTTAGACTGCAATCAAAATATGATACTTCCTTATTCTTAACATAGAATAGGAGAGAGAGACTCCGTTAGAGAGACTGTAATAAAAATATGATAATTCCTTATTCTTAACAGATAGATTTGAACTAGAAATAACAATTAAAATGCTCTTTTAGGTAACACTTTTCCTCCGACTCTTATTTTCATTGATCGCAAAAAATAATGAATCTTACTTATTCCTTTTTTAACTTTCTCATAATTGAAAATTAATTACATTTAGTCTTTATTCTTTGATACAAATATTTATATCTTACATTTATTACTATTATTTATATCTTAAAATGGAAACCCACTGCAAGTGATTTCAATTCAGGTTGAACAATCCTGAAATAATATAAAGTCAAAGAAATATTAAACATCATTAAAATATTAAACTAAGCATCAAAACATTTCTCAGTATTGTTTTTCTTCATGATACAATACATTCCTTCATGTGAATGGCCCACATTGTATAAAGTTATATTATCAGTTGTTTTAAAAGGCAAACACCAGAATGATAGTGATAACAATTATTACTTCCTTCTTTATGGAAGGCATTATGATTTCAAGACAGTTGAATGAATATTTTCACATTTGGTCCTTATGAAAATCTTGTAAGTAAACTTAGAACAGACTTTCTTATGTCCGTTAAAAACACTGATTTTGTATGGCCTATTCAGTCCTGATAGCTCATATGAAAAGACCAGATATTTGTTCTCAGGGTAAATCTTAGCAGACCTCTTTTTGCCACCTTATTTCTGTTATCAACGTTAATGAAAAAGCTTACTAATATGATTCATAAATTACACAATATATCCAGAGGAGTCAAAAACGTTTTCTGTATTCTAGTGTCTAGTATATAACTGCCATCTTAAAGGTAAGGAACTTATTTATTTATTTATTTATTTTGAGATGGAGTTTCACTCTTCTTGCCCAAGCTGGAGTGCAATGGTGTGATCTCGGCTCACTGCAACCTCCGTCTTCCGGGTTCAAGCAATTCTCCTGCCTCAGCCTCCCGAGTAGCTGGGATAACAGGCACGGGCCACCAAACCCAGTTAATTAGTTTTGTATTTTTAGTAGAAAGAGGGTTTCACCATGTTAGCCAGGCTGGTCTCGAACTCCTGTCCTCAGGTGATCTGCCCACCTCGGCCTCCCAAAGTGCTGGGATTACAGGAGTGAGCCACCGCGCTGGACCAGGAACACATTTATATCCTTGCTTAGAAATTTACTCACTCTTGCATTTAGAAAGCTATTTCTACAATTTTGTTTTTCTGTGGTCAATGAATGTTGCTACCATCCCTGTGGTAACACCTACCAAGTGAAATGAAATTATAGTGCAGTAGTGGAAGAGATGGTTTGGGGTTGGGGAGGTGACCAAGATTCGAAATTCCATTTTTACTGAAATATTGAATTAACTGATGAAAAGGTGTTTTTCCCCTTGAACTGTTTGATGACTGTACTTTTTTCAGAGCTAAGTAGCTGGCATCATTCAACAGTTACTAAGCACCTCCTAGGAGATGCTATGCTAGTCATGTTCTTCAGCATAAAGAGATAAATGATGCTTCCTTTCAACTGAGTGACTAGAACAAGTAAGTCATTTAACCTTTCTTAGCCTCAGTTTCCGTGTTTGCTAAGTGAGGATAATAATACTTATCTCATATGTTATGAAAATCTTCAACACAATGAACTAGCGCTGTAAACCTCAATTTTATTTACATGTAGTTTCCCCTTAAAGTTTATAGGAGAGTTACCATTTATTAAGGTTCTCAAAAGTGTTCAAGAACACCTATAAGATTAAAAGGGGCAAAAATTAAGTTAAACATAATATAATAAAAGTTAAACTTACAGTTATTTTTTAGGAGACACACACACACACACAACAAACAAACAAACAAAACAAAAGAAACTCTTTTAGCTCTGCTTTTGCAAAGGACAGCAACACTTTGTTAGCCCAGTAGAGGGCACTGAGGACAGTGAAGCCATGTCTGCTATGTAAGGAAGAAGTTTCTTTCATAAGGAGATTGTCAAGAGGAAATCATCAGGAAAGGGAAGTTATCTTATCTACTGAGGTCTTTCTCAAATATTACATTTCTCAAGGGAGATTTTGGGAAGGTAGAGGTTGTAGTTCATTCCTGGTTGTGTTCTCTGGTAAGTGCCTGACGTGTATTTTTCATTGTAATTGAGTTTCAGTGGTGGTTGTACCCTGTCTGCATACTACACACACAAGAGGCAAGCTGACATTTGTTATCAACTTGTATCTTCACCCAGGGAAAAGGTTAGCATGCAGGAGAATTGGGGGACTTGCAGGTAGAGATAATATTTTCCTAAAAGTTGGCTTAAAATCTTCAACAATTCAGTGGAAATGATAGACGCGTGTGATATAGTAACAAACATATACAATAACAATCACACACACACTCACTTCTACATTCACATGCATGTACACTCACACTATTCCCCGCATGCTCATACTCACATGCTCACTCACATTCACACACCCATGCGTTGTTATCATGTAAGATGTTTATAATTGTAATGTGACTCCTGCTTTACATGTGATATTGAGCAGCTCTGTATTTTGATAGACCTCTCACGGGATGAATTCATCACTAAAGCACCCTGTGAAGCTAAATGTGCTATTTCATTTAATTACTGAAGAATATATTCTTAATACAACCGATGTAATTTAAATTGATACTCTGTTGTTCTCAT